CACAACAATGAAACCAAGTTCGGCTCGACATCCTCAGACAGACGGGCAGACGGAGTGGGCACATCAAACCGCTCAAATGATGCTTCGTACGCTCATTCGTTCGGACCAGAAAGATTGGGTTGACCGCCTCCCCGACATCGAGTTTGCCTACAACACTTCGGTGCACCTGGCGATCGGCGTGACTCCATTCGAGTTGAACCACGGTGGACGGAAAGGCCGCATCTTCGCCGACCTTCTCCTCCCTCGACCAGCCAATATTGACGCCGCTTGCTCTCCCGCTTCCGTTCGGAAGTACAGGGACTTGCTGACTCAAACCCGCGCAAATATGCAAAAGGCTCAAGTCCGCATGCAGCAGCAAGCCAACAGGCGTCGCGTACCATGTCCCATCCGCGCCGGTCATCTGGTTTGGGTCTCCGTGGAAGAGTTTGCACTGGAACAGGATGTTTCACGCAAACTGCTTCCCAAGTGGTTTGGACCGTGGTCTGTGACAGCAGCCGCGGGCGATGAGCCCGATGGCCCTTCATTTGTGATCAACATTTCAGAGCATCCGACGGTCCATCCGGTCTTCCACGCCTCGAAGCTGGCAACATACACGCCAGCCAAGAGCGACGACTTTTCGGGCCGACGATCGCAGGACCCTCCTTCTATGGATGGCCATCAGGAAGTTGACCCGATCGCAAGTACGGCAGCAAGTCGCGGCAGTACAAAGTCACATTCAAAGCATGCGATCGCGACGACACTCTGTGGATTTCAGGAGCAGATTTGAAAGCATCCGCACCGCTGATCTACGCTCACTATGAACGTCAAAGGTTAGCCAAGGAAGCTTCACGACCTGCCCCTGCCACCCGGACTGTGGTCCCTCCCTCAGACAGACAGCTTCGCCCTCGCAGGTAAGCTCGGTCTTTCAAGGAGGGGGGGGTGTGGCAGACTGCGTAGCCACACGGGCCCTGTAGGACCCGTCCCAGACATTCAGCCAAAAGCCTAAAACTTAGGAGCTTCAGGCCCTGGTCGTTTCAGCCTGAAAACTGAAAAACGAGGGCCTGCAGGCCCTACTCCGTTTCAGCCTATTTCTGGGTCTTTCAGACCGAGAGTTTTTCCAACCTGAAAAGGAGGGCTATTCTTATGCCCTGGGCTATTTTTAGGCCCTCATTTGTTTCGACCTGCCCTAAGATTCAGGCACGAAAACTGGGTTTCGGAACAGGCTATTTCTGGCCTGTTCCCACGCCAGCTCGAGCAGGAGCTGCAGCTGCAGCCCCTGCCTCCCTGCGGCATTATTGGCAAGAGCACGAGCAGGAGCTGCAGATGCAGCCCCTTCCTCCCTTCGGCATTATTGGCAAGAGCAGCCTCCTGGACTGCTCGCCCGAGTCAGGAGGCACCCGTGATAGTACATTTGAGCTTCAGGCAGTGAACGGGGAGGCAGTTGGAGAGTAGGACGGTAGTCTTCAGATTTCGGCCGCAGCACTCAGGAGGAGCGCTGCAGTAGTCTTCAGCGCTAGGCAGTAGTAGCAGCGCTAGCTGTAGTCTTCGGCGCTGGGCGCCATAGCSATAGCAGTAGTCTTCAGCGCTGGGCGCTGTAGGTGGTAGGTAGTAGAGTGGGGAAAGACACTGGCGGAGGCCAGTGGTACGTACCTGTGGCGCCATCGCTCCAGCTCCATCTTCGAGGTACCTGCATCAAGGCGCCAACTTCACCAGTTAGTACTGGAGAGAGAGAGA